CAAGCCGCTCTGAGAAGACAGCCGACCAAGCTCTTTGAAACGTAAGCAAATTTGCCGGTAAACAACTTCAGTCACGCAGACGCAGCAGTACTACCTTATGAAGAAAATAATTGCATAAAAAAACGTTTCAAAGATTTTTAAGTGAGCAAACTACTAACAAGCTGTTTTGCACGCAGGATTTCACAGAGCTTCGCCACCTCGCAACGTTGGGTTGTGAGATCGGGCAAAGTAAACAGGAAATAATTGCCCCAGTAGCCAGCAAATCTGCCGGGTTTCGATTGGTTTTCAGATTTCTCGATTCCGGGAATGGTCCACTCGCGGAGACGATCGATAGAAACGTAGGGACAAACCGCGAGTTTTGCCTTCGTCCGTGGATCGAGGTTCTCTTCAGGCGATGGTTCTTCGAGGCCCGCCAACTCATAATGCAGTTTTGTTAAGGATACCAGACCAGTAATGAGAAATCGTGGTTGAAGTCTGAAAAATAAATAAAAACCCAGTGAACAAGACAAAAGGGGTCGAAAAGCATAACCATTCCTTTGTCCGCAGAATATTTTAAAAGAAGAACGATTCGAAATAATTTAAGTAAAATGAAGTTATTGGAATGACGCATAAATATAGTTTAAAATAAAGCAAAATGAGAGCGTACATTCCCTCGTATACCGAGAAACCAGGATGTCGATAAGAGATTATCTCGAGAGGAAGTTGCCAGAGTTGGACCTCAGAACCCTCACTTCTGATTGGCCAGACAAGGTTGCAGCAATTAACGATATAACGCTGGTGTCCGTCGCTAGAAGGATGACATGGTTGTACGCCGATCCTTTCAGACTGACCCACAGCAAGCTGCAACGCCCGACCAGAAATGACGGCTGCGTCCGGTTGGAATGATGACCGAAACAGCCGACTTTCAGGATGAGACAAATCCGGTTCAGAGTGAAGACGTTCAAAAATGGGACGTGACTGCGTTGCAATCGGTTGTAGAGTTGGTATAGGCAAAATGCCGTCCCTTTTATTGATAGCTCGCGACTAAAAATGAAGATATGTTTAGATAAACATAAATGTTCTTCCAAATACACACTTGTTGACGTTAAAATTACAGGCGATTCTTACATCATATTGGTTATTGATAAGATTCGCCGTTGGTGTAGGCAGCAGTGAAGGCGATGGGGTTCCTAAGAGACTGCGCCTGTGAGGACTTGGTGTCGATGGTGACAGATTTTGCCTTCGAAGCACGGAAGGCCAAGAAGGGGGTGAGTCACTGTCATAAGCTGCAGAAAGTGCGCGAGAAAGACCATCGGACGAAAAAGTGATGGCAGAACGCGATGCTTTGCGCTGTTTGGTAAGCAGGATGGCGCCATCATTTGCGTCGTAGTGATGTGAGGTCTTAATGATGGCCGCATCATTTACACCGGCAGCACCGCCACCGGAATCAGAATGGGGCGGCTTCCAACGGCAGCTGACCACAGCAAATGGAACAATGTGTTCTGGAGTGTCTAACAGCTCCATTTCATCATTGTACTCGTACAGATACACCTGAAAAAAAGAGGTCACAACCAACTGTTAGTCAAGGAACAAGAACGGGAAAAATGAAGGTTCATCCAGGCTAAAACATATGCCAAAACAAAACACTGGCGGGTTATGTTAGGTCAACAACAGTACTGCGGTGTACAAAAAGGTAGCACGAGTTTTGGTGGAAAACGGGAATAGGAAGCCTTCCCTCTAGGGCGTACAGCGCACCAATACAATGCAATGCAATACATACCCATACAGTCTACCTCATGCCATATCAACCACATTTTCCGAAATGCTTTGATTCGAACAAATTACTCACGTAGGGTTGTAATAGTAATTACCGTGCAGCCTTATCTCAAGATATGATTTTTGCAGACGTTTAGGAAGAATTCTGTCCAGGTGCCGGCATTTTGACTTGACTGAAATATCTTGGGATTAAATTGCAAGATAATCAATATTACTTGAGTAATTTATTCAAATCGGGAACACCTTTGAAAATGTCAACGGACATTCCATGAAGGAATCTACTGTAGTCTGTTCTCCCCAATACAACAGCGGAATGCCCCCTGTCCGCAGGCACGATAGCGCGGTTCTTGCCGGCACTGAGTGCACTGCATTCCAGCTTGGACAGCACTTCACACGGTCGATATTTCATGAGATAGGAAACCTATTGTATATTTGGCAGACATCAGAGAGAGCTTAGTGGAAGGCAAAGTGTACTGCAAAAATGAGTATAAAAACGTACTGGCTGCCAAAACACCTTAAATTGGTTAAGAAGGAAAGGTGGAAACCATGGGGAATACCACCTATCTCAAATGTTGACCTCGCTCTGGTGGAAGTAAGATCAAAGAACACAGGTTGTCGAAAAGTGGTAGGGACCTGACTAATTTGAAATGCTTCTTCCAGTGTCATCTTTGCCGGATCTAGAGGGTCCATCCGCGTCCATTTTGTCATATGGCATGTATAACCAGGCTGTGGATCCAGACGGCTGTCTGAGACATCGTCATTCCCACGAGACTCGGTAGGGGCAACGGAAGGAGCAATATAGACACGGCCTTTGAGCCAGCGCACGAGTATGACGAAAAAGGGCTGATCACCGTCGACTGCATCGTGGGCCTCTCGCCTGGATTTCGTCCTTTTCTGGGCTTTCGTGCGAGATGATGACAGATAAGCTAAAGAGATATCGACGCA